GCATATAATTGGATTGATCCATACACATCCATGGTGGCCAAATGTATGGAACCACTATCACTAGCCATATGCTATATGAATTGGTCATCTGTCCAAATGGGTTAAATCCATCTGTAGCAATGGCTAACCTCAAACTGCGGGGATCATTTGCAAAAGACTTGAAAGTCTCATCAAATTCTTTCCAAGCTTCCCCATCAGCAGGATGTCTCATTTCATTCTCAACTGGTACCCTCTTTTCCTTGTGCCATCTTGCATATTGTGCCCGTTCCTTCGACATAAAAAGCTTCTGAAGGCGTGGAACAATTGGAAAGTAATGAAGGACCTTGTGAGGAACTTTCTTTCTGCCCTCCTTGTTCACTTTCCATCGTGTGAATCCACAAACTGGGCAATGATCATCGCCTTCATGGTCTTTCCAAAATAAGACACAATCATACTTGCACACATCAATAGAAACATAACCAAAACCAAGCTTCTAAAGCAGAGCTTTCATTTCATTATATGACTTAGGAAGGCCGGGCACATTCTTCAAAGATGATGAAAGCAATGCAAGGAATGCATCGAACCCAGGTGTTGTCATCCGATTGTACACTTTTATATGCAGCAGCTTAATAATGAAAGTTAGCCTAGACTCTTCGGTACCTGGATAAAGTTCACGCTTTGCCTCTTCTATGATTCCTTTATATAAGTCACCACCAAAGCCATGGCTTGCTGCCGCGTGCAAATCTTGAATCATCCCCTAAACTCCCCGTGCACTATCTTCTATGACATCTTCAGCTTGTCCTTCCTCATCAAGTGGTGCCTGTTCATTTCCATCCCATGACATATCTTCAAGTACAACAGCAAGTTCTCCATCATCATCTTAACCAACATCATTATCTTCCTCTCCTTGGTGAATCCACCTAGTATAGAACCTAGACATACCATTGATTTCGATATGCTCTTGTACATCATCTTGGCTTATTTCTTTCTGGTTAAGGCATTTTCGGCATGGACACTTGATTTTGTCATCTGCACCATATCTACCTCTGACATGTTCCATGAATTGTTGAATGCCAGATATAAAGTCTGGTGAAAATGGTGCACTCTTATAAATCCATCTCGATCTGCAAGTATTTAGGTGCAAACAAGTAAAGGCAATGTAAGAAAAATTCAAAAGGGGAACACTCTGCTTCACTCAGCTCACCTTCTATTTTAGCAAAAACATATCCACCTTGCCTCAACTGGCCGGCCAAGCTCCACTGGTGGGGGCTTCTATGATGGTGTGGTGGGGGCTTCTGTGACGGCGTGGTGGGGGCTTCTGTGATGGCGAGCAGCTCAACTGGCCGGCCAAGCACCACCACGAGTTGCCTCGCCGCCGGTAGCAAGCAGGAGAAGGGAGGGGGAGCAGCAGGCAGGGGGGAGGGGCGACGTCTGCAGGGGCGAGGGGCGGCGGGTCAGGCTGGCCAAGAGAGGGAAATTTGGGGTGGGTGGCATGGCCAGTAGGTGGGGTCGGAGGGTGGCGGTGATAGTGGCCGAGCGGCCAAACTTCGATGATGATGGGTTCTGTGGCACGTGCTCGATTCAAAGACAAGTGAAGCACCCATCTACATATGACATGTGGGCCCAGTTCTTATTTAGGCTAGTGCCAAGTGGACCAGCGTTTTAATGACATGTGGGCCTAGATGTTCATCAGCACCCATCATTTGTTCAAACGTTTTGTTTTTTAAATCTGTGGCAAAATCTTGTAACAAGTTTTTCTCCTACATACTATCTCCAAATCAGACATTTTTTTCCTAAAAAATTCTAAAATCATGATCTATCAATATGGTGAGTTGTTTTCGGCCATATTTTCATGGTGCAAACTTTGATCAAAGGAAGAAGTTCAACTTTTAAAAATTGCAAATTCAAACCAAAATTTGAAACTCCAAATCACTTCATCTGCAAAAGTCATGAATACGAGAGTTGAACAACTCATCAAGACCAACAATTCTTATTTTGGTCATTCGGTCATCCGACAAAGTGATAGTAAAGTAGTTCATAAAAATTACATGTCTCACTTCTAGTTCATGAAACTCTAACTTAGATTGTAGAATTTATGAACTACTTTACTATCACATTGTCGGATGGACAAATGACCAAAATAAGAATTGTTGGTCTTGATGATTTGTTCAACTCTTGTATTCATGACTTTTACAGATGAAGTGATTTGGAGTTTCAAATTTTGGTTGGAAGTTGCAATTTTTAAAAGTTGAACTTCTTCCTTTGATCAAAGTTTGCACCATGAAAATATGGCCAAAAACAACTCACCATATTGATAGATCATGATTTTAGAAATTTTTAGAAAAAAAATGTCTGATTTGGAGATAGTATGTAGGAGAAAAACTTGTTACAAGATTTTGCCACAGATTTAAAAAACAAAACGTTTGAACAAATGGTGGGAGCTGATGAACATCTGGGCCAGCCCACCACATGCCACCGACAAATCGGGCCCATGCGTCAGCCCAATTTTTCACTGCTGCACCCGCGCTCTCCTACTCGCCGACACATGGACCCCTCTCTGCCTCCCGCTCAAGCCATCCAAAACCTCCTCGCCTTATCCTCTTGCCCGGTCAGCAATCTCCAATCTTCGTCCCCGCCGCCTCCACAGCGCCCGCCGCCACCAAACCGCCCGCCTCCACACCTTCACACCGCAGACCATGGCCTCCTCCTCCCTCCCCTAAACCCTGGCGCATTCCCATAGTCCTGCACGGTGACAAGCTCACGGCTGCGCCCGCGCGTCGCGCCGCAACCCCGCTCACAGACCGCCGGCCACCGGCGACGAGCCTCCGCCTCCACTCGCCAGCGACGAGCCTCCGTCCCTACTCGCCGGCCACCAGCGACGAACCTCCGCCTCTGCTCACCTCCATCCATACTCGCCTCCACCTCCGAGTCCGACCACAAGGTGCGTGCCCACGACCCTACCATGCGGCCTCTCCCTGCCACGGATCCAAGTCCCTGCTCGCGCCCATCCCGGTTAGATCGCTCGAGTCACGTCGGATCTAGACTGCCTCATCGGTCGGATCTCACGCTGCTGGGTTGGTGGCGCCGGCTCCTTGCTCGGGGCTTGTTCTAATGTGAGGTTCGGTTGGGGCTGATGTGATGAGAGAGTTCCCAGTGTTCGACAGTCGAGGATGTGTTTAGAGGATGGTTACGGCTTAGAGCAGTATTGCTCGATGTGGGAGTGCTGGTAAATGGGCATGCTGGGACTTTGGTAGGAAAGCTTAATAGCTCATGGGTTTTGAATTTTGAGTAGCAGATGGGCTGTGGTGCTTCCTCATGCTTCGAGTTGTGATGCATAGGAATGTAGAGCTCTTGCTAAGGAAAAAGTCTTATACATTTGGGGTTTAGGACATTTGTGTTGACTGTATTATGTGTGTGTGGGTGGGTGTTTTTCTTCCATTAATGAGTTATAATTTGTTTGCCTTCGATTGCATATTGTACTTTTGTAGTTAGTTATGCGCCTTGTCATCGATAATTCAACGTACATGTTATGTGCTGCCCTGAAGCTGTGGATCTGTTTGATCAGAATTGCTTCAATGCTCACTCAGCTTTTATCTTGCTGAGTGTTGACTGATTAGGCGCCTATGCAACCAAATTACAACTTGCTGACTGAGCATAATGCAGCACTGGTGTAATAGTAAAACATATCCGCGTATCGGGTTTTTGAGGAAATTGTCGTATCCGCGTATCCGTATCCTTTCGATACCGATACGCGTATCCGTATCCGTGCTGCATAGTGGAGATGTATGATTTTGCCTAACACAATTGATGCCTTGCCACTGCCAGCAAAATCATTGACACAAAAATTCCACTTGTTAAGACAAAGGAACCCATTTTGTTCATTTTATTCTGGTTTTTTTTGTTTCTTTACAATTTCACTACTGATGTGTTAGTTTTTTCTTCAAATTCTTTTCAGAAACTGACTCCAGTTTCTGCTCATTCTATGTGTTTGCATGTAATAAGTAATAGAAGAACATGACCAAAACCAAGTATGAGCGGGACAGGGACAAGAATGTTAAGGAAATTCAGGATGTTTTTAAATCTTTGGGTATTCGAATCTTAACAGAAAAGATTAGAGGTTCTATGCCAAAACAGCCCGAGGGCAAAGGGAAGAAACAACTATCGACAATCGTGATTCGACAATGATTATGATCCATCATCGATATTGATAACCAATCTCACATCGATGATTCGATGAGGTGAGATGCATTACTAGGCAATTGACAAGTTTATGGTCTATCCATTTCAATCATATTCTTTAGTGCAGTTCATTGATCTACTTGACACTTATTTCATAATTAATAAGATACATTTTCTCTTGTCGGGAAAGTCCAATGGTGCCGGGAACTCGCCTTGAAGAAGCAAAAGTTGGCAACAAAGGCATTTTGCCAACCAGAGCCACCAAGACGCCAAACCAGATTGACTAGGCAAAGTGCAGCCATGCCTTCACCTGGTGGCCGTCCACCACCTAAAATAAGACATCCCTTGCCTCCTAAGTACACTTCCAAAGCCAACCCTAAACCTCCACTGTTTCTAGTACCACCAAGCTGCAAGCCCAACACTCACTACAAAGCAGCCGGACCAACCAAACTACAAGCGCAAAGGCCTACTCATCCAATAATCACTAGGACCGGTCCAGCCATGTCTTCACCTCTTCCAAACACAGTGCCTAGTCCTCGTAAGTTCACTAGGCAAACTGCAGCCAAGCCTATGGCTGGTGCAAACCCTACGTATCATCCTAGTGTCTCCATTTGCTACCTTGTCTCATCAACCTACTCCCAATGATGCAGCCATGTCTCACATTTGGTGCAGCCATGTCTTCACCTCTTCCAAACACAAAGTGCCTAGTCCTCCTAGGCAAACTGCAGCAAGGTCTCACGCCTAGTCCAAACCCTGGTACCTTGTCTCGTGAACCTACTCCCACAACTAGTGTAAACCAAGTCTTTGGAAACCTCGCCAGTGCATGATTTCTAGGCAAAGCAATGACCTCAATGAGTCGGGTTGAACAATTTGGGGCTGCTACTTCAGAGGGTCATACTGAGATGATGAAGGAGAACGAGGTGGTGACTTGGTTCGAGTAAACAATACGTGTTTCCAAACATTATTTTCTCCATTCATTATGATCCTTTGTTACTGCTATAGCAACACATGTTGCTTATTATTTGCCAATGCAAGGCGCCGAAAGGAAGTCCGCAAGAAGAAAACCATGGGTCATGGATTAGAGAAGATGCTAAATAGAGGAAAGAAGCTGGCTATCCAAGTGGGTGAAGGGAAGAAAAGACCTGATGTACCACTTCAAAGCAAAAGCTGGCATAAGAAACTGGTGTGCTCCTTAGAGACAACTTGCCTATCTTCCCATCCTGGAAGGATTATAACGATGAGGCAGGGACAAGAAGTCAAAAAAGTGCTTCAGAAAGTGGTGGTGAGATATCTAATTCACTCCAAGTACTTCCCTGCATTAGTCTAATCCCATGTGAAAATTGTGTCTACTAAATCATTTGTGTGCATGCAGTCTAGGTTGGATGTGGACGTTAAGAATGAGGGACCAAGCCTTGATGCATGCACTGATATCATTAAGAGGGGAGTAAGGCAGATGAGGTATCACCTAAAAAGGAAGTACTTCGATGAGTCACTGTCAAGAGAACATTTGTTGGCCAAAGAACCTCCACCAAAGATGAAGAAAGAGGAATGGATCAAACTAGTGGAGTATTGGTGTGACCCAAAGAATCAGGTCCATGACCAGCATCAGCTGCTTTTGTTAATATGGAATGCAAACTGTGCATGTCAATGTAAACTTCATATTGCATTTGTGGTGTAGGAGAGATGTGCTAAGAATAAAGTCAACCGAGGCCAAGTGCAGCTACACCAAAGGACTGGATCTAGGTCCTATATTGCCCATCGGTACAGCCTGGTAAGCATACTATTGCTTCTTCCACTGAAATGTGAAAGGTTTTGGAGGCAAACCTGATTGCCTGATGAATGGCTTGAACCTTTTCGTTACTGTGCAATGCAAACTGTATGTACATGTTTGCTTGAAAGTTTGCCACAAAGCTGGCATTGTGTTTTCTGTATAATTAGCAAGAAAGATGGGTCAATTTTAACAGAGTACTTACCATGTGCTTGGTTTGTGTCAAGTTATCACATGCTATTTGATTTCTTAGAATATACAAAAACCAATCTTATGTCTAGTGATTTCTAGCACAATAATTGGCATCTAGCTATTGGCATGTGTTCCTATTCCTAGTTCAGATTTCAGTAAAACCAATCTTGCTGCTAAGTGTTCCTAGTTCAGATTTCATGGTCACACAAATAATTTCAGTGGCACCTCATAGTTAAGATTTCAGAGTTCACCCTCTCTTTAGCTTCATTGTAATCCAAGTTTTTTAAATGTTGCAGAGGGCTAAGTACAACGACATGGAACCTGATGCTGTTGATTTCTTTGGTGAATGCATGAATAGTCCCCAAAGTGGTCGAACTCCTCTTGCTAATGAAATATATGTAAGTTACAAAATGATAGGATACATCTACTGTACTCAATTACATGCCTGGTTGAACACTGTTCTATGGACTTCTTATTTACTACATTCAATTTTTGTAGGCACAAATGGTGGCAGAGAAGGAAAGAGAGCCAGAAGAAGGAGAAGCACAAAAGTCGCCCTCCAAGATTGTTGCTGACAGTCTCAGCCAGATTAGCCGTTCATCCACCTTTCTTCCCAACACTGGTGTCCCTCGACCATCGAAGACTGGCCGTGCCTCATTGACAGCAGCACAAGCACGCATGCAAGCTGAGTTTGAGGCAAGACTCCAAGCTGAAAGAGATGAAGCTGCTTGGAAGCAGGAAGAATTGCAAGAACAGCTTCAAGCTCAGCAGGCCGCACTTCAAGAAAACCAGAGTTTGCTGTGCCAGACCCAAGAGGAAGTGAAGGGGATGCATACCAAGTTTGAAGAGACTAATGCACTGCTGCGAGCTGTCCTGAAACTTCAGAAAGATTGAGGTAGGTTTGAAGCAGTTTCTGTGGATGGGGCTTTTGTCTAAGTTATTGCTACCTTGCTACAACTTGATCTGTGGTTGGAACTTTGTCAGTACTTGGTGCTTTATGCTTGTATGGTGGAACTTCTGTGGTTTAGTTGTGGTGGAACTATGTGGTGGATCTGTGATGGAACTATATGGTTGCTACTGTGTTTGGAACCAGTGGAATATATGTGTATGCACTTCTGTGAATTGTGTATGATTACTGCCTTCTGATGTCAAGCCTGGCGATGATGGCTGGGCTGATATATATATATCTGTGTGTATTCTGCTTTGGTTCCATGTGATGAAAGATTTGTATGTCGTTACTGAATATGAATGCTAGCATCGTCATGAATGCCATGGCTAATTGTGACGCCATATAGTTGTCTCAAAACATGGACTACAACCATACCAAACAAGACAAAACATCAGTGTCATATAATCTACATAAACATAACATGACATGAGAGGGACGTCACAAAAAGTCATCCAAACCTGACTCCCAACCCGCAATTTGTGACGACAGTTGCAAAATGTGACGCGTTGACCAACTATTATGTGACGGTTTCTACCGTCATAAAAGGGAACAATTTGTGACGACATTTGGTAACCATCACAAAAGGTCAGACAATTTGTGACGGTTGCTTATGAAATCGTCACGCTGTACATTATGTGACGGTCGTTATATGACGACCGGCATGACATGTGATTTTCGTCATAAGCTGCTTTATATGACAATTTTTTGACTTAACGTGACAAATGGTGTTTGTCATACAAGCCCAGATTTTTTGTAGTGTTTCACACTTGGCATTTGTTTTACAATGTGCACTTGCATTCTACAAATCATGGCGTGGGTTAGTTACAATAAAATCCAAAACTTACATTCATATTATATCGGGAGGGCAAGGACTTACAGGCACCATGTGCGAATTAGATTCATTTCCATTGCTCCGAGGTGAAAGCATGTCTGCATGTCATTGAAGTCAAAGATAATTTTTCCGGCTGGGCTTCCAAATGTGCCGGTGGGAAAGCATGCTTGTACGAGGTCTATGCTCGTTAGGAGAACACACAAGTACTAATCATGAAACCTTCTCATTTCAAGTGGTAGGTGCTTGATGTCCCGATTTGGTAGGTAGGGCTTGCCTCTTTCATATATTTTCAGGTAATCATTTGACCATTTGATGACATTAGTATTTGGATACTGTTTTGCTGTTCGGTGAACTTTGCTAGTGACGGCCTCCTTAGACGCCTGTGTTGGAACTTTTTTAACTTGGTTCTCAGGCTTTGAACTGGTCATGGACATACCACTTGTTCACCGAGGAGACGTCTTTCATCGGAACATAAATTGGTCTTATGGTGATTGGATGCTTCTTTCGAAGTTCCCATTCAGGCATGTTATCATCTTCTTGTGCATCACCTTGTTCAGGAGGCACTCGTTGTTCATGTATCAGCTGCGCTTGTTGAGAAGACTGTGGCATCTCATCATGTACTTCCTCGGCAGCTTTGTGAGAGAGACAAATAGATTATGTATTAATTGCGAAGAGCTAACTATTTACTCTCTCTGGGCAGCTTTGTAAGGCGTTTCCTCATTTTTCATTTAGAGGCTGTTTAGTTGCACTTCATTTTGCAAAAATTTCCAAGATTTTCCGTCACATCGAATCTTTGGACGCATGCATGAAGCATTAAATATAAATAAAAAATAAAACTAATTACACAGTTTAGACGAAATTCATGAGACGAATCTTTTAAGCCTAATTAGACTATGATTGGACACTAATTACCAAATAACAACGAAAGTGCTACAATACCATTTCGCTAAAAAAATTCCTAACTAAACACAGCCTTAGGCAGGTTTGTTGGGCGTCGGCAGCAAGAAAGAGTACGTAGTGCTTTGGAATTGCTACTGCAGTAAACGCGGGTGCCGTTGTGCTTGCATGCTGTGTGGAATTTGAAGCGTTTGCATGCTGCATGCAGTCACTCAAGATTGAATGATCGAGTGAACGAAGTGTTTTACTGCGTGGCTGCATGCATACATTGAATGAAAAGTACGCGATTCTGTGGCAGTGGTATTGAGCGACGAGCTACATGCGTGGTTTACTCTCCTTCCTCGGTGTATGAGTTTTGACTGGGGACGCCTTAGAAAGCTGCCCGGAGGGAGTATATGGGTTGACTGAGAATCAAGAGGTATTATTAGCATTGCTCTAAGTTTACAGCCGAAAAAAAAATATGAGAGAAATAAGTAGGTCATAGATAAGTTGTACAAGAATCAAAAAAATTTTACGAGAGAAATAAGTGGATCATAAGTGAGCTATACAAGAATTAAGAAATTTTGTGAGAGAAATAAGTGGATCATAGGGGAGTTGTACAAGAATAAAAAAAATTATGAGAGAAATAAGTAGGTTATAGATGAGCTATACAAGAATCAAGAAATTTTGTGAGAAAAATAAATGGATCATATACGAGCCGTACAGGAATAAGAAATTTTATGAGAAATAAGTGGATGATAGGTGAGTTAAATTTGCTCCTACCATGAGGAAACAGCAGCTGCACTGCTCACATTTTCTCTTTGCGCCTGAACCTTGCTAAAAAGCGAAGGAGCATTGATCAATCGTATAGCTAGCCATATAGGAATTTGAAGGGGAGAAGCTTCCAGTTTACAGTAGTTGTGTTTTTTTTTCTTTTTGATTTGACTTGAACTCTGGAAGCAATATTACACAGTAGCTGTGTTACAGGAAGGGGATGTAGGAAGAGGAGAAACTTCCTGTTTTTACCGTAGTTCTCACCACCCCCAGAATTTACGGTAGTTTTTTTTTTTTTTGACTTGAAGCAATATTACAGAAGCTGTGTTACATGAATGAAGAAACCAATAATAAAACTCAGATATACAACCCAATGTTAGTCCATCCATGGCATTCCGGCTCCACAGGCCTGCACTTTCTCCCTTGATCACATCACATGGCGTCGTTGAAATCGTCGATATGCTTCAGCAGCTTCGGGTCCAGATGCTTTACCACGTTGCCTCAGCACAGCGGGGGATTTCTTTTATTTTTAATCCTTTTTTATTTAATATTTTAATAATAATCGCTCCAAAAAAAATTTGTGGATCTAACCATTTTGGTAACGTTGTCGCGCCACATGCAATGGCGCGGCAATATCCGCAACGTTAGACAGCGTTTGCGATGTGAAAAATGTTATCACGCTACTCCCGCTGGTGTGACAGTATTTGTCGGGTAGCATAAAAGGGTACCCTAAGCAAAGACCAAAAAATTGCTTAGGACTTGTAAACATCGAAGCCAAAATACAACCGCAGGCAAACCCCCATTTCTTCCGAGGCCCGGCTGGATCGCCCGGCCCACCTCGAACAACATCCGGGCACGACCGGAGCAGGCTCGGCCTAGAACCATACCACGAGGCCTCGGACGAAGTACCGATTCTCCGACTCGCCCGAGGCCCCACGCCACGAGGCCTCGGACGAGCCACCGATTCTCCGACTCGCCCGAGGCCCCGCGCCACGAGGCCTCGGACGAGCCACCGATTCTCCGACTCATCCGAGGCCCCGCCCCATAAGGCCTCGGACGAGCCACCCAGTTACCGACTCACTCAAGGCTGGCTCGGCATCAACCCCGTCACCGTCGCTTTGACCGACTTCTCTGACTAGACGTCACATCCAACTAAAGCGTTCAACCACTCCCACAACGTCAGCCGCACGACGGCACGGTACAGCAGAGTGGCCAACAAGACAAAAGTCACATCAACGCCATGCCATCCGGGACAGGACGGGGCAGGGGTTACCGGCCACTGTGCTCGGCACTGTGCCCACAACTAACGCCTGTGCTACGCTGTGCTGCCTAACCCCTGCTCCAAGGACAGCGCGGCATGGAAAGTCACGTCCGGGTCCCTGTAGCCTCGGAAACGACATGCAAGGCCAACTGCTCCATCCGAGCCTCGGCTACCCGCTTCCGGGCTCCTGTAGTCTCGGGACTCGTGCCCGCCGAGCCCCCCACAATGGACTAGCCTCTGCATCAACTGGGCCTCTCGCTCTCTACGTTATCAGCACGTCGCCCGCAGTACGCGCCATGCCCTGCGTCAGGCTGCCGGAGCTCCCACGTCGTGCACGTGGCCTAGCTCCTGTAGCCTTGAAATCAGCGTACCCGCGCCATCGCATCAACCCGGCCTCGGCACTCCGCGCCGGTCAAACATACAGTAACCAGCACACCTCCAACAGAAGAAGGCGCGCCTGCCACCACAGGAGCTCCCACGTCGCACAGGATTGGACGTGACCGGCGCGTCGCTTCGGTGCACGTAGGACAATACCGCCCCACCGACCATGCCGCCACAGTGACAAGCTGCAGGGCTCGGACATGCCGCCCCTGCCGAAGAACGCCACGTAGCAAATACATGTACCGCCCCTGTGCCTCCCTTCGACTATAAAAGGGAGTGACCAGGGCCGCTTCTAGCGAGGAGACACCCGTGCGAGCAACGTACAACACTCTATAACACACACACTCCTTCACTGCAGGAGATCAACATCTCAAGCAACCCACACTTCAATTCACAGAGACCTGGGGCTAGCTCCCTCTCTCGCCCAGCTTGTAAGCCCCTACTACAAGCACCTCAGTGCAAGGAATACAAGATCGTTGTCTCAGACTGGACGTAGGGCACCTATTGCCTGAACCAGTATAAACCTTGTGTCTCTTTGCATCACCATCTGGGATTAGGGACACGCAGTACATTTTCACTCATTGGTTGAGGACCCGCCGGTCCAAAACACCAACATTTGACGCGCTTGGTAGGGGAGCTACTGTGTGTTAGCTTAGTCATCCCAATAGATTCTAGATGGCAGACCCCGTGCGACCACTGCGTCTCGGCACAATGATCTGGTTCGGGAGCCTAGAGTTCATGTCTCTAGGATATGAGTACGACATGGTACTCCTCCCACCTAGAGCCCCATCGACCGACGATGACATCACGCACCAGCAGCC